ACTCTGATGGCACTTTAGCAAATGATATATATCCAATGGAGTTGACTGTGCACTGTGATTCCCAAATTGTGTAAAAAGCAGTCTAACTTTCTTTTTAGTATTGAATTATTTGATAATATAAGTATTTTTGCTCAAAGAAGCAGCAGATGCAAATAATGACCAATGGTAGTCTCTTTGATCAGTACTTTACACTGTGTTGGCGGAGCTCTAAGAGTATAATATATGGGCTATCATTCTGTTAATTCCTTGTTCCTAGTCAATAATTCTATTACAATTAGTAACAATGCTCATCAAGCAATTCATGTCCCACATAGACATGCCAATTTTTTTCATCGATTTCCTTTAGCCTATTGGTTGAATTGTCTGAATGGCTGCAGATGAAGAGTGGAAGTTTGCTATAACCAACTGTTTTTGGAGTTTAAAGGAAAAAGATAGCACTCTTAGTACATCAAAGAATGAGATACTAACAGCAGTTTTTTTCCATCTTCATTTGATGCATGAAATGGATGGGTTTAATTATACTTTTGATACTTTTTGACATGTTGAAAAATTAAAGATTTGTCCAAGAGAAATTTTTATTCGCATTTAATATCTTGAACACTCAGGTTGTTTCAGTTAAGGTCATTCGCAATAAGCATACCGGTCAATCAGACAGATATGGATTCATAGAGTTCAGTTCTCATGCTGCAGCAGAGAAAGTTCTGCAGGGCTACAGTGACAGCATGATGCCAAATACAGATCAAACCTTTCGCCTAAACTGGGCAGCCTTTAGCTCTGGTGATAGGAGGACAGATGGTGGTTCTGATCTGTCAATATTTGTTGGGGATTTGGATGGTGATGTTACTGATGCACTACTGCTTGAAACATTTGCTAGTAAATATCCATCTGTCAAAGGTGCAAAAGTAGTTGTTGACTCAAACACCGGTCGTTCAAAATGTTATGGCTTTGTCAGGTTTGGTGATGAAAATGAGAGATCACGAGCCATGACGGAAATGAATGGTGTTTTTTGTTCTAGTAGACCTATGAGAATCAGTGTTGCAACCCCCAAGAAACAAGCTACACAGCAACAGTATTCTTCACAAGGTGAAATATTATACCTCCTTTCTGCATCCTGTTATAGCCAAAAAGTTTCAGTGTTTCACTCTGATAAAATTTCACCTAAATTTAGTGATATGGTTACAAAGGGCAGCAGGCTGCATACCACAAAATTACTCTCTTTGATATTGGACAAGGATACTGAGTTCCTTGAGAATCCTATGAACGTAAATAAATCCTTCTTGATTTGAAAGAATCAATGAAACAAACTTAATTAATTTTCTTGATCTCTACTTCTATGTTATTCGTATATGCCCCCTTTCCATGTTGTTTGTTATAGGGGAAATTTTTTTGGGTCCATTTCAGCATGATTTGAGTTGTAAGTTATTTGAAAAAAATAAATTAAAATAGTATTGTACCACATGCTAACTTTCAAGTGTTACTTTTAAAATCAAGTATACTAAGATTAGTTTTACTTCAAATAAGTGGCCAGCTCGAAGTTGACCAATAAGGATGACCCGAGACAACCATGAGATTGAGCCATTGAGGGAGTATTTATTATGTGATTCACAGTAATATAAGCATTTGAGGCGGACTTCGTTTTTCTTCCCCCATCGATTCTTTCATGAAAAGGAGTAACAAAAGCACCACAAGTTTCCCATTAGCTTATTCTGATCTCGACTCATTATTCCTAAGATCTGTTAGGATACCTAAAGTATCAAAAGTTTCTAACTTAGTCTTTTCCATGTTCCTCTCATTTTATACTTATTATTTTCAAAAGGGCAATTCTTAAACAGATCATTTGTGCTCTGTCAATTAGAGTATGTAATGGAATCTATTTTAGCATAAATTCCAAAATTTTGACTTACTTTTTTTGTTTAGCCGTTATATTATCAGGTGGATATACATCAAACGGTGCCATGCCTCAAGGTTCTAAATTTGAAAATGATTCATCTAACACAACAGTGAGTCCTGCTCCCCTTGGGAAGTTTGTTTTGAGAAATTTGTATATATCTGTATTTCACTAACTCCTGACTAGATATTTGTGGGAGGACTGGACTCTGATGTCACTGATGAAGAGCTCAGAGAGTCTTTTACTCCATTTGGTGAGGTTGTATCTGTGAAGATACCTGCTGGAAAGGGATGTGGTTTTGTGCAATTTGTCAACAGGTAATTCTGTGATTCTGTTTATCATAATGCAGATATAGTCCTGTATCAATACCATGGTTGGGGAAATAAAACTGGTTTCTGGAGCTTTTTGGTGATAAAATGAGCAAATGAAATGGCTTCTTTCCAAAGTAGTTACTATCTGAAAGTACAAATGGGATTTTGGATTATTGGCTATCCTATTTTAGGACAAAAACATAAGTTGAATAGTTCTGTTTCAACTTTCACTGAAAACTTTGTGCCAAACAAAGACGTAAACTTACTATGGAGGTAGCAATATTAAGGAGCTTGAGCTATATGCATTGAAAACTTCACACTTTTAAAGCCTAATTGTGATCATGTTCTTTCATCTCCCTAATTATATTTTATATTTTGTTCTATTGCAAAGCTCTAGTTGTGGTTAGTGTTTATGTGTAATTTTTCTTGTGCTCGTGAATGATGTGTGCGCTATGGTGGAGATCATGGGTTATTGTGGGGGACCCAGGAAAGGGTGCTGGACAGTTTGGAAGTAGGGCTGGCATCGAAGGTTGGGGGCAGGGGGAGGTCTTGTGGGTGGCAGTGTTCAAGGTCAGAGGGAGTTGTGGTTGCTAGGAGAAGTGAGAGGGCTGGATGTGGCTGTCGGCAAGGTCAGTGAGGAGGTGAAGTTGAAGGTGGTGGGTTGTGGAATGGGGAATGGCGGAGAAAGGTGGGAAGAAGGACCAAAATGGTATTTTTTTGGCCGGGTTGCGGGGAGTAAACTAGGATATGCCACCAAGTTATGAATGATTGCGAATGTTTACATTTGTAGAAACAAAGCTTTGACGCATGACTATGAATAAACCTCAAGTCATAGAATTATTGTATATTGGGGAGATTCCTATTATATTGTTTGAATGTTTGAAACATAGAGCTACGATGCATTGCATAATAATTTTGAATTTCTATTTTAATAGAAGCAATGCAGAGGATGCAATACAGAAGTTAAGTGGGACAGTTATTGGTAAGCAAACAGTTCGTCTTTCTTGGGGTCGAAATCTGGGAAACAAGCAGGTAAGTTGTATCCTTCAATTTTATTTTGTTATATTGTCATTGGGGACATTATTTTCTCCTTTGACTACCCAATAGAGTTTTACCTTGTCAACTTAACAGTGTTGGTTTTATATATTGTATTTCAAAACATTTATGACTCAAATTTATCCTTGGTTTTAGAATATTGTATCTTGTTTTCTGGACTGTCTACTTGTAAACCAAAAATGAGCTTTGTGCAGTTTGGCTAAGCTTTAAAAACTTGTTAAGTTTTAGAATAAATAATTTTATTGAGTCAAAGTTGAAAATAAGTTATTTGAAGTGTGTTTGATGAAGGTTAGAAAAGTTTGCTTATAATCGAATAAGCAAGTTTGAAAATAAATATATGAATCTCTATCATTAGTATAAAAAAAAATTACTTAGCCAAACATGTTGAAACCATTCTGTTTTCTTTTCGACTCTCTTCACGTTTCTTTCTTGTTTTGCAGATGAGAACCGATGCCAACAATCAATGGAACGGGTCTTACTATGGAAGGCAAGGTTACAACGGGAATGGATATTTTGCAGGTGCAGCAGCCAACGAGGCATCTTCAAATGGTTACGGGTACCACTAGCAGCAACTTAGCTGAATTACTGGATTGTGCTCGTCGAGTATACGAGAGAAATTATCAAACTAACATGAATGCTAAAATATGTCGTATTATGAATTTTGTGGCCGGATTCAATGTAATAAGACATTTTGATTTTATTTTGTCTTTCTTCTTTGAACTTAGTTTCATAATTTTAAGATATTTAAGAGCCTGTTACAATAATTATCGTTCAATTTGTCATTCTTTTGGAGCTTCATAATGTTGTAGAAGTTTACTTTGTTTTAGTTGTTTTCTATAGTTATGTGTAAGAATATCATTGTTTAGAAGGTGGATTAGGGTTCTACTTTGAAGATTTTCAGGTAACAAAAGGAACTGAAACTTAAGATCACTGGCCAGTGATGATGAGAGTATATTGCCTCTTGCAATGCATCACTGGAGTACCCTTTTTTTTTCACACAATACTAAACTAGGTTAACAATAGCAAAAGGCAAGGTCGTGGGTCACTTTTTTAAATCACATATTTTATCTTTTATTAAAAAGTTAATAAAATGATGTTTGATGGAGATTAAAGTTAGATTTTTAGTAGATTGCGATAGAAATTTTTGAAATGTGTGGTTGAAAAGTCGTGGTACCCATGAAAGATGTAGTTAATATTGATAGTTTGACTTTGACTTGGATTAAAATCAGATTTTAATCTGGATTAAATTGAACCGGACCTGAATTGCCCGCAACGAATCACATTCCGGCTTGATGCCATTCTCCTTAGAAGACCAAACCTTCTCACAAATCCATAGTCAATGTTTGATCGTCATTTCTTAAAATTCATTTTTTATGAACACATTTTCAATCACGAGACTCGTAATATTTATCAATTTTTCAATCATATATTTTACTAACTTTTATGAAAATTTATAAAAAATTTAATTTTTATGCTTAAAACTCTAAAACATTGAGGTGTCAAACGTTTCACTAAAAAATTGCAATCAATGACGTGGCCTCAAAACAATGGCTAGTCCGTGATGCATTAAAGGACTCAAAGTACACAATCACACAGTTACCATTGTCAACCATGATCAAAACGCTGTCGTTTAAACTGTCGATTCCCCCCATACCGGGCCGATATCGGCAACGAATTCTCAGTCTCTCAGTCTCTAGGGTTTTTAATTTCTAGAGAGTAGAGAAATCCCCAAATTAAGAAGAAAAATGGATCAATCGTTTCTGATAATGCTATCAAATTTGCTCCACCTCCACAACCACCTTGATCCGACCAACTCACTCCTTTCCGACACCTCCTCCACCGCCTATTCCTCCGACGTATCCTCTCCTGCCTCCCTTCTAACCTCCACCTCCGCCGCGCCCCTCCTCTTCTTCACTCTCGCCTCCGTCCTTTCTTATCTCGCTTCTAACTCACCTAAAAAACCCTCCAAGGCCTCTTCCCCCTCCTCCTCTTCCTCCAAACCCTCGTCAGAATTCTCCGTCGCCGCTTTCCGCGCCCTCTCAACCGAGCGCATATGGGCCATGGAAGCCCCCCTCCGCGACGCCCAGTGGCGATCCCTCTACGGCCTGTCCTACCCAGTATTTACTACTGTTGTTGATAAGCTTAAGCCGTACATTACTCAATCCCAGCTCTCTTTGCCGTCTGATTATGCAGTTGCTATGGTCCTGTCTAGGCTCTCTCATGGCCTTTCCCTCAAAACCCTTGCGTCCCGTTATGCCCTTGAACCGTATTTGATTTCGAAGATTACAAACATGGTTACTCGCCTATTGGCTACTAAGCTTTACCCTGAATTTATCAAAATCCCAGTTTCACGACGTCGTCTTGTGGAGAATACTCAAGGGTTTCAGGAATTAACCGCGTTGCCTAATATTTGTGGGGCTATTGATTCGACTCCAGTGAAGCTGCATAAGCTTAGTCCTGATGTGATTAATGGTTCTATGTATTATTGTAAATATGGGTTTCCCTCGATTTTGCTGCAGGTTGTTGCTGACAGCAAGAAGGTTTTCTGGGACGTGTGTGTGAAGGCTTCGGGTGGTTATGATGATGCCACGCATTTTAGGGATAGTTTGTTGTATAACAGGTTGATATCTGGTGACATTGTGTGGGACAAGGCGATCAATGTTAGAGGGCAGCATGTGAGGCCGTACATAGTGGGAGACTGGTGTTTTCCTCTGCTGTCATTTTTACTTACGCCATTCAGTTATAACAGGACAGGGAATCCAGCACAAAATGCATTTGATGAGGCATTGATGAAAGGGAGGAATACGGTGGAGGAGGCCATTGGATTGCTTAAAGGGAGGTGGAAGATCCTGCAGGACTTGAATGTGGGACTGAACCATGCGCCACAAACGATTGTTGCGTGTTGTGTGTTGCATAATCTGTGCCAGATCGCAAGGGAGCCCGAACCGGAGCTTTGGAAAGAGCCTGAAGAGAATGGGCAGCCTCCTAAGGTGCTGGAGAATGAGAAATCCTTTCATTATTATGGGGAGAGTTTGAGGCAAGCCCTAGCTGATGATCTATACCAACGGCTTTCATCAAGATGAGCTTTTACCAAATGTAAGAATAACTTTGCTTTGCTTTATGATTTGCTCTAGATGATCATTCTCTCCTATCTTGTTGGCAGTAAAGTTTCTACAATATCTCCTCTGGTTAACAAGAATGTTTAATGACATTCTGGAACTTGAAACCGATATTAGATCGGCTTGAATCGAAGAAGTATTATGCATATCCATCATTTTTCTTCTACTGGCAGTTAAGATTATGTTTAATGTTGAAATTTGTCGTGGTAGTCCTTTGTTGGTTCATTAGAAGGAAAAATGTGCATAAGAAAATCATAGGCGTGGCAATATTAGAACGGATAAATAATTTGAGAAACTGAAGAATGCAAAATTTCTTTCCTACTAAGAATAATTGGAGGAATAAACATCTTAAAATTTCTTTCCTACTAAGAATAATTGGAGGAATAAACATCTTTGAACTCTTTGTTTGTAGAAAGCATAAGACCCTGGAAACTTGGTCCTATCTGGTAACATAGAAATTTCTTCCTATCTTCCTTCAAAAACAATGTGGTTTCTCTCCGTCCAAATTAACCAAATGATCCAGAACCCGCTTTCCATATAATCATGCCACCACAACAAACTCACTCGACCAGCATCCTTAGTAACGACTAATAGATGGGAATACTTGACAAAACCAATTGGATTGGAATAATCTTTTCTCACTTGAGAATAATGATTTCTTCCACTCACCAACCTTTTAACAACGTTCTCAACTCCTGGAAACCAAAACACTATCGGCAATTTCAACCTCTCAGCTAAACAGACCCTCGGTGCCAACATAACTAGAATAGACGTCAACTCCTTGTGGAACATGGCTTGATTTGTTTATGTATGAATGTAAGACTAGTACTTGCACATTTCACTGAAATAGTTCTTTCTATTTTTCCTAATAAAAATGTCTATTGAACTTCCCTTTTCTAGGAAATTTCGGCGGTTGATATATGAAGCCTGCTCATGTACCAACCTGGCTGCTGCAGTAGTTGAATGGGTATCTTAAATTTGCACATTGTGGAGGGATCATCAAAAAAGTGTTCATCATTTAGGTAAAGTAGTGGCAATTGCTTCAGGCCTTTACATTTCTTAAAACCATTTGCAAGACAAATGTATATTTTACAGCTGAAGAAGAAACATATCAGCTGAACTTGAGTGAATGTCAAGGCAAGACAGGAGCATCATAACACAATAGGTTATGCCAAACCACGTCCCATTTGTAATTGGATTTTATTTACCTTATATTTTGCTAATTAACTTCCAAACAACATTAATAGCAAGGAGAACATTTTCATGCTATTGTTTTGTTTCACGATGTCTACCACAGGTTTCATTTGCCTCATTGTTATATAGCATTAAGCCAATTTCGCACATAGATGGTCACACTATGATTTCTGTTATTAAGAATTTAGCTCAGGTTTGTCATTGGACTTTCGATATGGATGTGAATATACTGGCTATCTATTTCCTAACTGGAATTTACATGTAAGAACTTGACTAATATGGCAGCAATCAGATTTGTCTTTACAAAATTCCAATTTCTACTCTTCCAGACATTTGAAGAACAGATTTCTGTAGTTTCCTTGATGGGAACAAGAGTGTGCTGCTCGTCTGTTTAGGAACTGTAAATGACTTGGATTAAGACATGTTTGAGGTGTCTAAAATGAAGCACGATATTTGCTACGATGAATGCTTTGTAGGTATGTTTGTTATGCTAGACTGAACAAACACGGATAA